AGACAGACAGAGAGAGACATAGAGACAGAAAGCGAGAAATCACCCCCCAGGGGGGATGGTCACGCCGCAATCCCTTCCCCTCCATTCTCCTCTTGGGATCTTGGGCACGCACGCACACGCGCCCGGCGTGAGATTTAAGCCACCGGGTCCGAGACGCGAACCGCGGTCGACTACGTGGGAGTCCAGCGACATAGCCATTACGCTAACTGCTGGCTCCCTGCCTTCTTGTACTTTAAAAAAAAAAAAAAAAAAAGAAAAAAAAAGAACCATATGGGGAGCTTTAAAAAGTTCCCTGCCCCAAACAAATAAAGTGGTCCCCCATTATCCACAGATTGTGTGGTAAAATAAAATACTTTGAGAGATCACATCACGTAACTTTTTAAAAGTTTATTCTTATATGAGAGAGAGGGACAGTACTCCAGCAGGATCCCCCATACCATAATCCACAGTCAGCCTAGATCATGGGCATACACATATGTGCTTGGCATATACAGGGTGGCCTCAGGGCATGAACATAGGACCCTCCCATGTGGGACAAATTGTTATTGCTCCATCACTGTCCAGCTTCCAAATGACTTTTATTCTAGTATATTGTCATAATTTCACTATTTTATTAATATTGTTAATCTCTTACTATGCCTAGTTTATAAATTAAACATTATCACAGGCATGTATGTATAGGAAAAAATACAGTATATATAGGGTTTGGTACTCTGCAGTTTCAGGCACAGTTTTAGACTTTCCACTGAGGATCTTGGAAGGGCCTTGTGAATAAGGAGGGCTACTATAAAGTAAATCTCTAGGTTCCGGAAATAAACCACAGGTTAGACTCACTGATTTAGTACTTTCAAGGTTGGGAAAAGCATTTTTATTTCATTCTGGATGTGATGAGAAACCAACTGGCAGGATTTGGGCAGGGGAATGATGAGATCTAATTTGCTATTTTGAAAAGATCAATGACTGCTGCTATTTGACAAGTAGACTAGACGGAGTAGAAGATAAAAAGTGAGCAACCCATAGTTATGTTGGCAGTTTTAAAAATTAAACTGTTAACTTTTAAAAACTAAATTAGGGGGGTCAGCCAGGTGGCATAGTGGTTAAGGCAGCTGGATCCCACATGGCCAACTGTGCAGTTGGAATCCAGGACCTGGCACTTTGAGAAACACACCGGGTACATGTGTACTTGTGTGCCCAAAATCCTGAGAAGAGCGTGAAGGAGAAGAAATTGCAACATGACCACACTCTGGGGGAGTGATGGTTGATATCTATCTCTATCTCTCTCTCTCTCTCTCTCTCTCTCTCTCTCTCACGTCGCATGCACGTGCACACCCTATAATAAAACAAGAAAGAAAGAGAAGAAAGAGAAAAAAGAGGAAAGAAGGAGGGAAAGAAGAAAAGCTCTCTATGGTCAATTTTTAAAATAATGATGAATAAAATTAAATAAAATAATTATTTTCCAAAAAAAGTTAGGAGCAGATATTACATTTTTATCTTTAACATACATCATTAAGATACATGGGGTTTTTATAGGGTGAACATAATTTGCTTTCACAAAAACGTTTGCAAGTTTATTATAGAATAGTTCACACCAAGCAAGATTGTTTTAAACTTTCACTTTCCAACTATCATTTTGTAACTTGCGATTTTCCAGAATAGTAGTTCAGAGCCTTTGAAACTGTCACAGAAAAGTCAAATATTGAATCTGTTAGCAGCAGAACTGTCTGCTTCAGCCATTATTTTGTCCTGAGTGAATCTACTGTCCAACCAAGAAAACCAAACTACAAGGAGTTCCCAGAAAGTTTGTTGATAATAGGACCAGCAGATGACATAATCACCCCCCGTGGGGTGATTTCTCATTTTATGTCTCTCTGGCAAGACCATGTGCCCTATAACAAAAATCTTTCTGTAAAAAATAAAAAGTTCATGGAGAACGTGTAGTATGGGGGAAAAAAACCGGCACAGATTTCCTTTTGTGTGTATGTGTGCTAAAATAAACTCATACTTTAATTCCATTTTGACACGATCTTTTTGGAGTCTCTTCGTATTAACAGTAACTTTGGTCTACCTGTGTACTACCCCATCCTAACCCCACCCACAGTATCTTTTCCAATAACCAGTATTGGAGTTTTGCATTTGTCATACCTTTACTTCGTTTAGGGGAAGGGAATATTGCCACATAAATGAACAGAGCATAGCATTCTTTTTAAATTGTCAGAGGGTGGGGCTAGCAGGTGGCATGGTGGTTAAAGGCACTGGACTCCCACATGCCAGCCGTGGTTTGAGTCCTGGACCTGGCGGCTTGCTCTGTATGTCTCTCTTTTTTTTTCTGTCTCTCTCTGGTCAAAGTTGAAAAATAATGATAATAAATAATATTTTTTGAGAGGTTTTTGCTATAGGGCATTTGCACTCGCTAGAAAGACAGAGAGAGAGACAGCGAGAAATCACCCACTCCCCCCCGCCCCCCGGGAGGATGGCCGCGCAGCAATCCCTTCTCTTCCATTCTCCTCTCGGGATCTTGGGCACACACGTACACGCACCTGGCGTGAGTTTAAGCCACTGAGTCTGGGACTCAAACCGCGGTCCATTACATGGGAGTCCAGCGACATAGCCATTACACTAACTGCTGGTCCCGATAATAAAAAATTTTTTTAAAAATTGTCAGAGGGTACGCTTACTCACCAGAGAGATGCAGAGAGAAAGGGACAAAGTACACCCCCCTCCAGTGGTGTGGAGTCACACTGCAATCTCATCTCCGTTTTTCCATCCTGATGGGATTTTGGCCACCTACTCACTCTCCCAGTGTGTTTTTCAAGTCACCAGAGCTGGGATTAAAACATCGTGATCAGCCATGTGGGATCTGACTCCCCCAGCCACCAGGTCATGGGGCTAGCAAGCATTCTTTCATTTTAGTTGTTGCAGAACTTTTTAGAAAGGATACTGTGGTTGACGGTGGAGCTTTTTTTTTTTTTTTAACTTAACATTCTGATTTTGAGATTGATCTATCTCTTGCATATAACTGAAGATCACTTTCATTGTTAATTTTATGAATGTTCCCATCTTCCTGGTCTACTCTACTGATGGGCATTTGGGTCAACCCTGCCTTTTCGGCCACCCTAAACATTCTTGGACAAGTGTCCCAGTGCACCCAGACATGTAGTTCTCTTGTTTCTCACCCAAGTGAACAGTTAGGTACAGAAGTTGCCTTTTAAAATCTCTTGCCCTGATTCCTGTCTTTGTTTGCATTATAGGTTTCAGTCCCCGTGGAGGTGGCTTCGGTGGCCGAGGGGGATTTGGTGACCGTGGTGGTCGTGGTGGAGGCCGAGGAGGCCGAGGAGGCTTTGGCGGAGGCCGAGGAGGCCGAGGTGGCTTCAGGGGCCGAGGACGAGGAGGAGGTGGAGGTGGAGGAGGAAGAGGTGAGTGAGGTTACCAAGGTGGGTAGAGGTGACCTTCCATGGTAGTAGGAGGGGAGACTGGGGTCTCCTGTCTTACTGAATCTCTCCCTTATAGGTGGAGGCTTCCAGTCTGGTGGCAACCGGGGTCGTGGTCGGGGCGGAAAAAGAAGAAACCAGTCAGGGAAGAATGTAATGGTGGAACCTCATCGGCATGAGGGTATGTGAGAGAGGCTGAGTTTGGGGGCCGGGTCAGGGGCAGGGGCCTCACCCCTCCTCTCATCCCCTCACCCAGGTGTCTTCATCTGTCGAGGAAAGGAAGATGCACTAGTCACCAAAAACCTGGTCCCTGGAGAGTCAGTTTATGGAGAGAAGAGAGTCTCAATTGCGGTGAGCCCCAGGCCACTGTCCCAGCCTCCAGGGCCCCTGTTGATAGTGTGGCTAGCAGTCTGGTCTCCTGCTCCTGCCTGTGTCCTACATGTGGCAGCCAGGGCCCCTCATAATACCTAAGTCAGACCATGTGCTCCCCTCTTCAGATGCCTTCTGTGACTCCCCATAGCCTTTAGTTAAAATCTTGAGTCTTCCTTGTGGCCTCAAAGACTCTGTATCTTATGACTCCCTCACCCTCCTTGGTCCCTCTGCTCCTCCGTCTCCCTGAACCGATGCCTTCCTGCTATGCTGTCCTCTCTGCTCTTTTCTCTCCCAGCTCTGTGCAAGGCTGGTTCCTTATCATCTGATTAGCTGTCACCTTATTTTTCTAACAAGGCTACCTCTATCATCCTGTTGAAAGCACCCTCATTGTCCATACCTTGCCCTTCCATGTTTGTTCCCTTATGCCAATGCTGTGCCCACCTCAGGGTCTTCCTGCTTACTTTTCCCCTGCCTGGAGTGTTCTTCCCTGGATAACCCGTCCTCAATTCCTACAGGTCTGACTCCGAAGACGTTTTGGCCTTCTCCAGCCACCCTTTCTCATATCCACCTGTTCTTGCCCCATTCCTCATAGTTCATATCATGTCTCCTTAGGACCTGTCACCATGTGACATACCATGCTGCATTTGCTTAGCTCCGTGTATGCTTACTCCTTAGGAGCCACCATCTCTGCCTTGCTCCCTGCTGTGTCCCCAATGCATAGAGCAGGGTCTGGCCCCTGGCACATGTTGGCTAAATGAGTGCATAGGTGTTACTGTTGCTCTTTGTACTTGTCTGTGACTGCCTCCTCTCTGAGTCAGTAACCTCCCCGAGAGGGCAGGGATGGCATCTTTCGTAGTTATTGCTCTGTACTCTACGTTCCAGTCTTCTGCAGTGATTGAACCTCCTAGCCTCTTTTGAGGTCCCTAAAATTAAGGATAAAGGGATCCTGTGGAGGAGCCCAGCACTGACTTCCATCCCATCTCCCCTGACCCAGGAGGGAGATGATAAAATCGAATACCGAGCCTGGAACCCCTTCCGCTCCAAGCTGGCGGCAGCAATCCTGGGCGGCGTGGACCAGATCCACATCAAGCCAGGAGCCAAGGTGCTCTACCTCGGGGCTGCCTCAGGCACCACTGTCTCCCACGTCTCTGACATTGTAGGCCCGGTGAGTAAGGGTGGGTGGGAAAGCGGGTGGGAAGAGAAGGCTGCTTCCCCTCTGCTAGCCTAAAATCAGAGGCTCACATGCTTTTACTGTGAGGCTAAGGCCAGGCCATTCCCTCCATGGTGCCTATGAGTAAAAGGAGCATATCAAGCTAAAGAGTCTCATTCAGTCCCACCCCTAGGCCCTTCTTGGCTTCAAGGGTAGAGGCATGGGTGTGAGTTACCAGCAGCAGAGGATGCAGAGCTGGTAGAACAGAGACCTGACTCTGCCCTCTTGAAAAAATATATTCTCTGCAGATCTGGCCTATTGTTTTTCTCAAAGGAACCAAGAGATCACATGTTTTCTGGGCCTGATGTCTGAGAGGCTGAATAGGTTTCCCTGACACTTCACAGACCCTTGGTTCCTTTACATGATTATAGACAGTTAAAAACCCAACCTCGGGGGACCAGCAGTTAGCGTAATGGCTATGTTGCTGGACTTCCACGTAGTCGACCGCGGTTCAAGTCCTGGACCCGGTGGCTTAAACTCACGCCAGGCGCGTGTGTGTGCATGCCCAAGATCCCCAGAGGAGAATGGAGGAGAAGGGATTGCTGCGTGGCCATCTCCTCTGGGGGGGGTGATTTCTCGCTTTCTATCTCTCTGTCTCTCTCTGTCTGTCTGGCGAGCGCACATGCCCTATAGCAAAAACCTCTCAAAAAAAAAAGAAAAAAGAAAAAAAAAAACAGGCTCAGGACCAGCAGTTGGCATAATGGCTATGTCGCTGGCCTCCCACATATAGTCAACCATGGTTCGAGTCCCAGACCCAGTGGCTTAAACTCACACCAGGCACATGTGCATACATGTCCAAGATCCTGAGAGGAGAACAGAGGAGAAGGTTTTGCAGCATGGCCATCCCCCCAGGGTGTGATTTCTCACCTTCTGTCTCTGTTTTTCTGTCAAGCGCCCAGCTCTGTAGCACAAAACTCTCCAAAACAGACTCAACCATAGTTCAAGTCTGGACCTGGTGACTTGAAATTCATGCTGGGTGCTTATGTGTGAGTGCCCAAAATCCCAAGAGGAGAAAGGATTGCAGGGTGGCCATCCCCCCTGGGGGGTGGTTTCTCACTTTCTGTCTCTCAGTCTCTCCAGCAAGCACATGTGCACTGTAGCAAAATTCTCTCCAAATAACTAAATAAAACCAGGCTTTCATGCAGGCATTAATCAGTGATGTGGCTTTTGGCAAGTTACCTAACCACCGAGCTTCAGTTTACCCCTCTGGAAAATAGGGTTGTTGTGAAGATTAAAGAAGTTAATTCTAGGGACCAGCAGTTAGCATAATGGCTATGTCACTGAACTCCCATTTAGTCAACCACGGTTCGAGTCCCGGACCCAGTGGCTTAAACTCTTGCTGGGTGCATGTGCGTGCATGCCCAAGATCCCAAGAGGAGAATGGAGGAGAATGAATTGTGGCATGGCCGTCTCCCCCGGGGGGTGATTTCTCGCTTTCTGTCTCTGTGTTTTTCTCCATCTCTCTGGTGAGTGCACGTACCCTATAGCAAAAAATGCGCCAAAAAAAAAAAAAAAAAAAGTTAATTCCCACAAGGTACTTAG